CCTCCTCTATGTCCACCATCTCTTCTTCCCCTCTCACCACCTGACTTCTCAGTATCAGCAGACTACTACAGAGAGAGAGAGAGTTGTGACTTGAGACTTGACGACATTGGATCCAGACTCGACCTTTGGGATTCAGACATTTCGACGAGGGACTATTTGGGCCTGTGCTGAACACTTGCTGTTGACGACATTCCCATCTTCCCCTCTTCTTCGTCTAACCCCCATCTCCTTCGTCTGTGTATGGTTGGGGCTGGCGCAGTCTTCCTGTGTGAAGCGCCAGACCCCTTCACACCATGGAATGATGATGATGATGTATGTTTGGGGCTGCATTGCAATATTGATTGTTCGGATCATTGGTATCTAAGTCTTCCGCTGTGCTATCTTATACTTTGTATTGAAAGGTCGGTTCTTGTTCTGGTCTGCACCTATACGGTATGCAACACCACGCCTGGATGAATCTGATGGGCCATTACGTCCAGAGCTTGGTAGAAAAAAGTCCTTGTGTGCGTATGCCATTTCTTTGAAGCTGCGGCCACACTGCACAACGTCCGGTGCAGGAGATGTAATACACCCTGTCTTGCTGGCAGGGCAAAAAAATGAAAGAACGAAAAAAAAAAAAGAAAAAAAAACACGAAACTACTTACATTTTCTTTTCTTCCTTGCTTGGCAGAAAATCAGCCTGTATCTGGTCATCAAACAACGCCAGGTAGATGAGATGGCTCGCTGGAGAGTTTGGCTGGGGTGGCAGATGAGTAAAAACAGCGGCCTCCACTTTATTCCAGCTGCAGGCAATAGGTCCACCCATCAATCCGAGAGAGACTGGTACCGGTACTGCCCTCAATTTTCCATGCGGTGGTACCGGTCGCTTTCAGGCTCGGCAAAATTCAAGATTTAGGGCCGTACATTTAGCATCGGTGTACTCGTGGCTTAAAAAAGGGCGACAGCCTTACATAGGGTGCTTCCACAGGTTGGCATCCAATTCAGCCTAAAAGTAAACAATCTGCAACAAGTAACCAAAAACGTTTTTGATGAATGTGTCTAAAAGTTGGTGTCATCACCGCATTTACCGACCCCAAGTGATTCCAGAGTGGATTTCATTCATCTGACCCCTCATCTGATGCCAAACAGGATTCAACCTCAAGTCTGTTTATCAACAGTTTGTGAGTGTAAGATTTAGCCACGGGGGCTAGGTGTTTGGCCTCTTTTTGACCGCTTTTTGACGTCTTATGACCTCTTTTGGACCTCTGTTGGACCTCTTTTGGACTGCTTTTTTACCGCTTCTTTACCTCGTTTTAACCTGTTTTGGACTGTTTTGGACCTGTTTTGGACCTGTTTTGGACTGTTTTGGACCTGTTTTGGACTGTTTTGGACCTGTTTTGGACCTGTTTTTGACCTCTTTAACCACTCTTTGCCCCTCTTGATCCCTCTTCTGGCAGATCCGAGGAAGAACTGTTCCGTCTTGTACAAACTGTTCTGAGAGAAGGTGATTTCTCAGCTCTGTGATCAGGTGCTACTGCGGGAGGCCTTCCTCCCTCCCGCCCTTCCAAATGTGGTGGCACTTGCTGATTACAAGCTGTGCAATGGTTGCGGGATTTTTTCTTAGGCACATCGTCATGGATGCCATGTTTATAATGACTTATGTTCTTTCATTGCAATGAACCTCTTAGTTCAACACCAGCGAGCGCACATATTCACACCTCGTGCATACATGAGATCACACGAAGTTCACACTGAAGACCAGAGAGATTAAGACCAGTAACGCAGCTTATGAATTCCAACGAGTTGTACAAGAGCAATAGGAGTTCCGAGTCACCAGCGCACAACAGCGCATGTCATAGGTAACCAAACACCCAACAGAAATCACCCAGGTAAGTATCTTCTTCCTCCCTGCTCTTCTCTCCCTGTTGTATCTCCCCTCCTTGCTGGTCTTCTCCCTAGCTTATGACCTCGCTGTATCTTCTCTCCCTACGTGCGTGCACACTCACTCTAACTTCTGCTCAAAGATCTACTCTGAATACACCCACTGTCAACTCTACTAATCCCTCTGAAGTCTACTACTAACTGCTAGCACTAACACTTCTGCACTGGTGCAGCTATGGCTGCCTTCTCCATGCCAGCGCTATCATCCTCTCTCTCCCTCACTTAGCGCAGCACTCTGGCCTCAGCGCTCTGCTCCTCACTTCAGCGCACAATTGCACCAGCACTTCCACACTTCTTGCGAATGAGCAATCTGGCCGAATGGTAGGCTGGCCAGTCCTTTTGTACTCTTGGAATGATCTTCAACTCGTGCCAGCCTCTGCTTGCTGGGACCTGGCTGGTTCTGGTACCACATCCCCACGGCCTGTCTGTTTGTGAATGTCAAGGCCCGGAACCTTCCCGAATTTCCTTTGGTCTGCTGCTGCTTGGGCCTTCGAGTCGTGACTTTTCACTTGTGAACATGACTTTTGACTGTGGATTGTGACTCATGCCTCTGGAGCATGACTTTTGCCTGCGGAACTGTCCTTTTACTCGTGGAATGTAACTCTTCAATATGACTTTTCGTCATGAGACGTGACTCCTGCCTTTGAGACATGACTCTTGCTTGTCAGTCTGCCTTTTCGCTTGTGGGATGTGACTCTTCTAAATGGCTTTTTATTATGGGACGTGACTCTTGTCCCTGAGATGTGACTGTTTGCTGGGTGCCTGTTGGACCAGACTGCTGAGGTACCCGACTGTGACTTTCCTGAGTTTGACGAACTCGGCCTTTTCTTGACCTGTGCATCTGACCCTGAGATCCGAATTTGGGGTCTGAATCGTGGAAGGCCTTTCATCATGGTGGTGGTTGTTTGTTACAGGCACATGCAAAGAAGCGTCTTCATGCGCTGACAGTGGCTGCCGCAACATGTTTTGTCTTCCCCTTTGCATCATGGCAGCTTTTCTCGGTACAACCCACTCTCGCCCCTGAGTTTATCCTCGTCTCCTTTCTCGGTTTGCTATTCTTGCTCCTTTCCCCCCCTCTCCCTTCCCCTCCACTCCCCTCCCCTCTTCCCCTCCCACCCCCCTCTCTCTCTCTCTCTCTTTTGTGGTCATGTTCGAAAAGTTTGGTGCAAAGTAACTTCAATGTTTCGTTGCCTTATTTCCAGTTATTGGGCCTTTTGCTTTTTTTTTTAATTATTATAAAGAAATATGTTATTTTATATTTTAAATATTTTTGTTTATTTGACTGCATCTGGATTCGAACTTGGGTCTGTATTTCAACAGTTCAGGGGGGGTGTACCAACTGAGCTAGGCCTGTTGGTACCTTTTGCATTTTAGTATTATTACTAGAGTGTGTTAAACAAACCAGTCAGCTGCGGGCCCAGCGATGTTCTGCTGGTACACATGGATCCTGCGGTCAGGGTCAGTCTTCGCAAGGGGGGTGCAGAGATTCTGTGCACCCCAACTTCAGCGATTTTCAATTCACACCTCAATTGACGGAAAATTTCCCAAAAGAACATGGATCATGGGAAAAGCATTGGTACAAACCGAATGCCTACAATTGGCCCTCCAGGCCTGACAATCATCCCGAAAATGTCAGGGTGGCTCTAAAATCTGGTTCGGCAAAATTGGCTGGCAGAACTGGTGTGTGTTTAATTGCTATGGTCAGTTTCGACTGATACATGCCTGCTTTTTTTTTTTCAATTTCTTCTCAGTAAGGAGCCAGCCTCTAACAGTATTGTGGGAGAACAGAATTTTGTTTGCCAACAACTAGATGGGTGTACCATTTAGACATCAGGAAGGTATGTCGGGGCCAGTAGGCCCTAAGGGAGCGGCCAGGCTGAACCAGACTGGGCCTTCCCGAAAGTGGCTGCGGGCCTGGCCAGGGAAAGTTTGGAGAAAGTCATGGCCACTTGATGGGGTTCTGGCCTGAGTCTGAATCTCTCTAGATACTGCCCGATCCATACTGGCAACAGCTTTGGAGTAGATATATTCACACAGAGAGAGAGAGAGAGAGAGAGAGAGAGAGAGAGAGAGAGAGAGAGAGAGAG